CCCCCCCCTCCCCCCCCTCCCCCCACACCACCCACACCTTCTACTAAGAGTTTTCCATTAGGAAATTAATGCAACAAATCCCACATTTGCACTTATCCCATGTTTTCGCTTTAATACTACCGCCATCACAATAGAAAGAGAATGGCGTTTGGTTAACAAATCTCTCTTACTCACTCGAAGACAAGTGAGGTTGAAAGACAGCCACTTGGAAACACTATTGGAGGCGACTAAAACAATAGAGAAGTTTACTAGCCCTTCGACGTATCATTTGAGTCAACATTAATTCAGTGGAGGGTAAAAGTGGGTCTTTGTCAAGGCAATTTACCAACTGGAATGTCATCTTTGAATACATCCCACCCCTGGTACTTGTCCAAGTGTGAATATTTCATATTTCTTCAATATTATTTAAATTCGCCGGGAGTCTATTCAAGACGCCAGGCTGGGTGACTTTGCACTTCTTCCCTTCAAAAGTCTATCCAGGTAGTCACATTAAGCAATTTGAGCCAAAATAAGTTTAGGAAATGGATGAGAAATTACATCAGCTTTTACCGTACATAGGATTGGGGGATATCACTTAATAAATATGGATTACATATTTATTTATATCAAATGGCAGGCGTTTTGATGGTTATCATTAGCCCTTTAGTTGACTTCAGGCTTCACAAAGGGGAAGGAACATCAAAGTAAAAAAATGTTGAGAGAGGGGGGGAACAGAGGGGTGTTTCAAAGACGAAAGTAGAAAAGGTAGAAAAAATGTAAGGTGAGTACTGGGGAAGTAGTAGACTTACAGTGGGGTGATGGTAGTTTAAAGTCAGAAGTCAACTGCCGGTTAATAGACTTTTTTGCCGCATGAGTATACGTTGTCCAGAGTGCACCACGTGGAGGTAAGTCTATCGCACACCCCATATGGATTACATTATTCATACATTCCTCCAGTCTAACAATTTCCAACATTCCATTCAATTTCTGCAATTAAGTTTGATATGGTTTTAGCTCGAATACTTCAGAAAGTGAGAAACTAGTGTTTCCTCCAGGTTATTTATGATACTATTCTTTCTCTTCCCACGCTTTGCTTCTCACAGAGATGAAGCAGATACGTGGAGCACAAAGAGAGAATACCAGCAGCATTGCCAGATTTACCACATCTAAGTCACCGGATTCGATTCCATTGCACCCTGATTAGTTTATAGAAAGGGTTAAAGGCTTTTGCCTACAAATATTCCATGGAGGAATAGTTAAATACAAGTGTTACTACCTAGTACACCAATGGTAACTATAACTAGCATTAAGTATATCTTTGAGGTATTCTGAGTTGTTTTATTTACTCTAAGGGCTGTGGTTGAAAATTTACATTAGCATTTACTTGACTAATTCATAACTTAGATAAATTGACAGCTAGACCTTTGGACTACGGCCACTTGATGAACTCGAAGTGAGGAAAGCTATCTCCCCTCCCACCTCAACCAAGTATGCCTCAGTGGTCTACTTGGACGGTTATAATGCACTAGGATGTTCTAGAGAAGTCACGCTGTTTGTGGGCCTTCGGTTTTAGTTCCACATCTTCCATACTCTGGGGTTTATCACATCTCTAATGAGACTTCAATTGATATACTCGGGTTATTATGCTTCCTACATCCAAGTAAAGTAAAATGGAGAGGGAAACAAATATCCTTTCATGAAATTTCAAATTTGATTTTTGCAAAAGATACCCTTTCACTTGAAATACAAATGCGTCTTGAGTATTTACTATGCCAAACGCAGCTTCAATATTGATCAAAAACATGAATCAATTAGCTCGATATTATGATAATTGCAATGTTGTCAGTTCTTCCACAACTAACTAGAAATCTCTTCCTTCTACAGCGAGGCTTCTTTTCAAGCACTTCAAGGGTGGGTGGATAGGATAAAGCCCGGTTTGCCAGCGGGCGCAATCAAGGTACTAGTGGGCTGTAAGTCCGACTTAAAGCGGGTAATTCAACTTGAGACTGCCCGCAACTTCGCCACCCAGAATGGCTACATTTACTTCGATGTCTCTTCGAAGAGCAACCAGAAGGAGATCAATGAGGTTTTCAATGTGGCTGCTGCCAAGGCCTTGGGCATTCCAATTCCTGCACCACCGGTAAGTTCACAGAGTGACATGCTAATATGGTATATTGATTCATAGGCGTCTTTGTGAACAGCAGAATCCTTTATGCACTATTGGGATCCTAGACATTCTATTTTCCTTCTCTTGAATGTGTGGCCAATAGGTTCAGGTAGAGAAGGAGAGATAAAACAGCGACTATTTTTAATAATTTACTACAGGTCGTTGAGAGCAGCGTAGAGATTATGATGCAATTTTGAATTTTTTCTCATAATTCAGCTAGATATAAGGCCATTTCCGTTTCGAAGACGTTATTCAAGGAAAGTTCTGCTTTGAAGGTCACAATGTCATCAGCGACAAAACAGTGGTTTCAGAGTATTCGTATTAGGAGACATACCAATTACCTTAATAGCGATTATGTACATTCTTCGTCGTAAGGTTAGATAAATAGAGGCATGCTGATTCGCACTGTTCTGCCTATAAAGTGACTTCTTACCAAGAAGGTTGAAAGCAGCTGAATAGATTAAAGAAACTGAGTTTCATGAAATCGAAACTGCTACTTCTTTGCTACGTAACTCGAAAAATTACGCGAGGTCATTCCTACCGCTTACACAGATGTCTCATGCTCTTGAATTCGATTTCAAGATGGAAAAGAAAATTCTGATATTTGGTTTTAAGAAAGTTCAATGCAGTCAAAAATTGGAAAAGGAAGTCTTCATTGACCATTACAACTGTGGAGTAGTATCCTCATCAATAGTACAAAGACATTACTTTCTATTCAACAGGTATTTGCATTCAACACACAGCACCAGACCTCATCGATTTCCGATTGTTATCCTAAGTGCTCCTTTTGAGAGGCGGAATTGACATTTGTTAGGAGTTTGGGGTTTTACCTCAAAATACATTGCTTACTTTTGGATGTACATGAGCAAGTCTACTGTAATTATGGAGCAATGAAATTTGATTATATTAGTAAATTTTATATAAAAGAATATTAAAATGGTGAAGGATGACCTCCAAATGGATGATATTCATTATGGAATGGCTAATTAAATTATAAGGCGAAATTTCTCAGTAATATTTATTCATTTCGAATGGCGGGCATTTTGATAGTTATCATTAGCCCTTAGCTGACTTCGAACTTCACAGAGGGGAGAAACATTAAAGTTAGAAAAATTCAAGAGGGTGGACCGAAGAGAGATTTGCAGATATAAAAGCGGCAGACACAATGGTAGGGAGTAGGGTTAGGTGAGTACTGTAGAAGTGGTCGACTATAGCATACAGTGAGGTCATGGTAGTTTGAAGTCAGAAGTCAACTGCCGATTAATAGACTTTTTTGAAGTATGAATATACGTTGTCCAGGGTGCACCACGTGGAGGTAAGTCTATCGCACACCCCTTT